AGAGAGAGAGAGAGAGAGAGAGAGAGAGAGAGAGAGAGAGAGAGAGAGAGAGAGAGAGAGAGAGAGAGAGAGAGAGAGAGGGAGAGAGAGAGAGGAGTTGCTGACAGGTTGACACATGGAGAAGGTGACAGATGGATGGCAAGATGGTTAACAGAGCCCTAAATTTTCAGTGTTTGCTCGTGGCTTCCAGAACGAAACCCCAGAACTTTCATAGCAAACTTTCCACCAATCCATAGAATGGACATCCAAACAGACCAACGACGACAGAAAAGGGAAAAAAGAAAATGAAAAAAAACATGGCAAAAAATATTTATTTTCCGTGCAAGAAACAACAAAAAAAAGAAAACAACAGCTGCTAAGAAAGTCATCCCCAAATGCTTGGGCGGTTATGCTTGGGCGGTTAAGCTATGGCTGAATAGGGGAGAGTCCCTATTCAGTGCTTGGGAGCTTAACCTATGGAATTTAATACGGGGAGGGAGTATGGTTCAAAACGGAGAGGGTGGAAGCACCCCTGTTAACCACTTGTGACAGACGGATGGACAGAGACAGTTAGGGGTCCCACCCTGGATGAAAGGGGGAATAATTGATTTGGGGCAAACAATGAGGAAGGGGGGCATTAGCCTTCACGACTTAGGGGCAAACAATGAGGAAGGGGGTCATTAGCCTTCACGACTTAGGGGCAAACAATGAGGAAGGGGGGCAAACAAATATATACGAAAGGTCCCGCCGAACCCCGTTTGGAGACTTCTTTGTTTTTTTGTTCAAAGAATTTTTATTTACAGACAAACAACAATGTCGCACACCCCCCTATTAAATTTATGAACTTAATTTATGAATCTCTAAGTTCAGGGAAGCGAGCCCAGTGCTACGAGCCTGAGATGACCGTATTATCCAGACGCATACCTGACTGCTGCATCTCATAGGGCAGCTAGGCCCTTCGTATCTTGGAACCAGGGTTTACCGTTCAGAGTTTAGGGTTTAGGGTTTATTTTCAGAAAGAAAGGGGAAAGGGATGATCATTTACCGGCACGCTTGTTTTCTGCTGCATAGTCTTTAACCAAAGCCAAAAACTTTTCGGCTTCATCGACGGAATGCGGCAACGAAGTCATCTTGATGCTTGGGTGCCTGCCTGCAGTCTTCCTGGAGAGGCACACTCTCTACGTGATTGTAAGGCTGTCTGCATCCAAACAAACAAGGGAGGGACGTATTGGGTCTTTTTTACCAATCCTGGGCTCCCCTAAGAACCTCAGACTGTGGGTGATTTGGTTTAACTGTTGATGGATTTACTGCTCATCAAGGTTAGGAAACACAGAAGCACAAGGATGCCAAAAGTAGACTGCTACTGAACAGAAAAACTGGGACACACACACACACACACACACACACACACATACATATCCCCTCAAATAAAGGAATAAATAAATGGGTATATAATTTATAAACAGTTAACTATAAAATTATAAATAACAAATAAATGAATAAATGAATGAAAAAAAAAAAGTAAAAACAAAAACATGACTATATATATGGTTTTTATAACTTTATAATTTCCAAACATAGATTAATAATTAATAAAATAAATAGACAAATAATTTGAAGTAAGGTTAGTAAACACACAACTAATATTACACACCCTGCATATCTTGTGATCAAAACCTACCCTTGCACCATCCCGATCCCTACCCACCATTGCACGATACAACCCACTAGACCCACTCACACCTTGGCCCCACCCACCATTTCCCAACCATATGCCCTACACGGAATAATACCTATATCCATATCATGGACCGTATGCAAATGTTATGTGACTGATTGAAATGCCATCCAATAAAGCATCAACATGTTCTCGTACACATGCAAGATGACAAAGCGGACTCGAACAGTGAATTCACACCAAACAGGACTGAAATATGCACAGCAGAAGCTCAAAATTCAAGTAGAATTGAAATACCATCTCAATTCACAATCCCCCGTCTCTCTCTCTCCTATTCAACCAGCTCCACAAATACCCCAAGAATCCCAACCAAGTGTAAACAACCTTGAAAGATAATTTGTGGTGGTCTCCCCCCCCCATACCCCAAGAATCCCAACCAAGTGTAAACAACCTTGAAAGATAATTTGTGGTGGTCTCCCCCC